GGACAAAGCTGAAACAGTCTTTCTCCATGGTTCTCCAATAACACCCGGCCCCAAGTATTTTATTCGCCAAAACATACCCATTCATATGAGGTCCACACACTCCCGTATGTACTTCATGCATAACTCTTCCGGCTTCCTCGACGTCGACAGACCTTAGCAAGTTGAGATCCGGGGTCTTTTTGTACAAGACATCACCACTTAAGAAGAAACCACTCGCGTGCCGTCTAATGGTTCTCTTTTGATCTCCGGAGGCTTGCTCGGGGTATTCTTGTGTTTTCAGGAATCTCTTGATATCATGATATCATGGCTGGGTACTGGGTTCCGCCTCAACCGCGTTACAATAACCATGCCTTTCTTTGATTTGAATTTCCAGAGGATCAATATGGGCATTGCCTGGGTAAGGCAGCATCGAAGCCAGAGTGGCGAGTGCATCGGCTAGTTCATTGTGACACCGAGGGATGTACCTGAATTCTGTCGACTTGAATCGCTTGCCGAGAACCCCCCAGGAATTTCAATTGCGCTCATGTTCATTACCGTAGGAATTGGGTTCAAGCTTTCCCCAGCCCCTTCTCATCTGGGTGGCTCCGCGATTTCTTATGGGCACAGGCATCCCAGGTAATTCAGTCTTATGGTTCTTCATTATCTGCATATGGCCTTTTTTTCCTAGGTGCTCATTTTGTCTGGGCTTTTAGTTTAATGTTTCTATTCAGTGGACGTGGTTATTGGCAAGAACTTATTGAATCCATCGTTTGGGCTCATAATAAATTAAAAGTTGCTCCTGCTACTCAGCCAAGAGCCTTGAGCATTATACAAGGACGTGCTTTGATAGATTCGCCCTCGGAAACAAGAAGTTCTGGTCTGGGAGCGATAATATCAACGAGTCTTTGTGAACCCATACGACTTTCGTTCTTCCATTTCTTGGTTCGAACTGTTAGTTGAATTATTTCTTCATTTCATCCGTTTATTCATTCAATTCACAGTCACAAGGGGCCGGAAGGACTTCTAGTCTATTAGAATCCCCTAGAGTAGTAAAATATATCTTTAGTTTATTCCATTATTGGATAGGTACGACCAATCCATTTTAACTAAAAAATTTTCATCAAAGTCAAAGCAAAGAACGATTTTTCTTTCCTTCGAGGCTCCGGGATAAAACTACTCCACATATTATCGATAGGGAATGAGCTTAACATCTCGGGTCTCCCAATCTCCTTGGGCTTGCCGGATAATCAAATCAGAATCCCCCATGATCAATAAATCTTCAACATCTTGGTCAATTGCCATATTCATACCCATGATGGAGGCTTCATACTCAGCAGTGTTGTTCGTGCAGAAGAACCGAAGCCTGGCTGTAGCCGGGTAGTGCTGACCAGTGGGTGAGATCAAAATTGCCCCAATTCCTACACCTCTAGCATTTACTGCTCCATCAAAGAACATTTTCCAAGCATGAGTGTCCTCAGAGATTGCTTCTATTGAATTTACCTCTTCATCTGGGAAGTAAGTGCTCAATGGTTGGTATTCCTCGTCAACCGGATTTTCAGCCAAATGATCTGCCACGCCTGGGCCTTCATCGCCCTGCGAGTGACATAAACTATATCAAACTCAGTGAGCAGGATTTGCCATTTCGCTAACCTCCCGGTGGGCATCAGTTTCTGGAGTATATGCTTCAAAGGATCCAACCTGGTTATGAGGTAGGTAGTGTGAGCTTGAAGATAATGTCTCAGCTTTTGAGCAATCCATGTCAAGGCACAGCAAGTTCTCTCCAACAGAATATATTTAGCTTCATAACTGGTAAACTTCTTTCTCAAGTAATAAATTGCCTGCTTTTTCTTCCCGGTATATAATGTTGCCCGAGGACACAGCCAAAAGAATTTTCTAGGACTGTCAGATACAAGAAGAGAGGTCTCCCTAGCTCCGGTGGGACCAAGACTAGAGGATTTGACAGATATTCCTTGATCTTGTCGAAGGCCTCTTGACATTCAGCCGTCCATTTGATTGCTGCATCTTTCTTCAATAGTTTGAATATGGGCTCACATGTGGTAGTCAGTTGAGCAATGAACCGACTGATATAGTTTAACCTGCCCAATAAGCTCATCACGTCTTTCTTAGTTCTCGGAGGAGGTAGATCTCGAATAGACTTTATCTTCGTTGGATCTAACTCGATACCTCTCCTGCTGACTATGAAACCCAAGAGCTTTCCTGACGGGACTCCGAATGCACACTTGGCCGGATTCAGCTTCAAATCATACTTGCGCAACCGCTCAAANGTAGGTACCCCAGGGTGTAGTGAAGGATGTCTTCTCTGCGTCTTCTTCATCCATCAACACCTGGTGATATCCTGCATAACAATCCATGAAGGACTGTATCTCATGTTTGGCGCAGTTATCAACAAGGATGTGGATGTTAGTCAAAGGGAAGTTGTCTTTGGGACTTGCTTTATTCAAATCTCTGTAGTCCACACACACTCGGGTTTTCTCATCTTTCTTTGGCACTGGGACTACGTTGGCCAACCATGTAGTATATCGGACCACTCGGATTACCCCCGCTTTCAGCTGTCTTGTGATTCTTCTTTGATCTTATCACTGATATCAGTCTTAAACTTTCTTTGCTTTTGCTGAACTGGAGGACAATCGGGGTAAATTGGCAATTTATGCACCACTAGATCAACGCTCAGTCCTGGCATGTCGTCATATGACCAAGCAAACACATCCTTAAACTCAAACAAGAGTTGAATTATTGCATCTCGGGTTTTCTCATCCGTGTGAATGCTTATTTTGGTTTCCCTGATTTCTTCGGCTGTTCCCAAATTAACCGGTTCAGTGTCATTCAGATTTGGCTTAGGTTTGTTCTTAAATTGTTCCAGTTCTCAATTTATTTCCCTAAAAGCCTCTTCTTCGTCATATTCTGGTTCTTGGTTCATTATTTCACAGTTAGACAGTGTGTTTGAATCTGGGCATGACGTCCGCAAGCATGTCATATTATTTAAAGCCGCATTATTAGAACTGAAAAGAGAAATGAAAAAGAAAAATAACAAAAATCAGAAAGAATAAAGAGAAAATGGACGATGAAATATTGATTTCATTTCTTGGAATTGGAAAGATGACAGGGTTTACATTCAGGAATTTAAAGACAAGAAACTAAAAGAAACATTCGAGTTACACCCTGAAATAACTCGGGATGCAGAAAAGGTGACAAGGCTAGTCTACCGGGACTCCCGCCTGATAGGGAATGGCGTAGCCTTCCAGTTCTGAAGTTTAGCATCTGGTCCCATGTAGAGCACCTCAGCGGTACTAGTGCCCTCCCCTGGCTGAACCATGTGGGTTTCATATAATATCTTTCTCATTGACCCACATATCCCTTCAATCTCTTCGACCGTAAAGGCCTCATCCTCTTCTTTTTCATTGTATTTTGGCTTAACAAAGGTCTCGTACAGATGTGGCAGTGGCTGTGGCAAGACCCACCCTTCCTTCTTTCTCTCATCAGCCCATTGTACATCTTCTGGTCCAGGCAGGAAACCTATTCTGAAGAATTTTTCAGTTGTAGGTAGAGCCACAGGCTCAGATATCCCTTGCAGAGCTTTTCCAAGACCCTTGCCCGGTTTGAAACCGTGTCTAATCATTTCTTTGGCCACCATGATTGAAGCAGTAGATAGGAAAGGCTGGGGACACGGATTTCCTTCCTCGTACTGATCTGCCACCACAATTTCAAATGCTTGATAAACAACATGCTCACTTCCTTCCCTCGACTCCAAGCATGGGATAGATAGGTCACGATAAATGGACTGCTCATCTTCTCCGTGGACCACAATTTCCTGATCCTCATTCTCGAATTTCACCATCTGGTGTAGGGTGGAGGGCACGACTCCTGCAGCATGGATCCAGGGCCTTCCCAGAAGAAAATTGTAAGATGTATCCATGTCCAATACCTGGAAAGTCACCTTGAAATCCACCGGGCCTATGGTTAATATCAAATAAATTTCACCGATGGTATCCCTCTTAATGCCATCAAAAGCTCATACACAAATGTTATTAGGACGAATCCTTCCCGTCCCGATGTCCATTCTTTGCAATGTAGAGAGTGGGCAGATGTCAACCCCCGAGCCTCCATCCACCATGACTCGCTTGACATAATAACCTTTACACTTGGCAGTCAGATGCAAGGGTTTGTTGTGAGCTGCGCCTTCCGGAGGCAAGTCATTTTTATAAAAGAGAGTTGATTGACGGCGAAGAACCTTTCTGCCATCCTTTTGAGCTATTCGACTGAAGTTTCAATTGGCACATACGCCTCATTCAGAGTTTTCATCAGGATCTTCTGATGTTCGGAGGATTTCATCACTAATGACAACAGCGACACTTGTTCAGGATATTTTCTCAATTGCTCTACTGTTTCATAATCAGGCATCTTCATTTTCTGGAAGAAGGCCTCTGCTTCCTCAGCACTCACTGGCTTCTTGGACGGAAAGCGCTTTTGTGTGGCATTGTTTACCTCTTGTACATTTGAATACTTTTCAACAGAGGTTTTTCCTGGTAGTTCTCCCGAGATTTCTTTGCCCTTGTATGTAACCACTGTTTGCTGATAGTTCTATGGCACTGCAGAGGGGTCTGTCATTGGCTTCTATGGTACGTGTCCAATAACCACTGGCTCATTCAGCCGAGGCGACTTAATTGTCCCCCGTACCACATAAGCTCCTTTTGGCACATACATTTGCGTTTCCCTTTTTACTTCAAACTTCCTTGGAGCACTGACAACTAGTGGTTTTTCTTGGCGTCCTAGTGGAACATAGAGAATTCCATTCTTAGGAGGTTCCATCTCTGCTTTTGTTTCAGGTTTCTTCTCAGACTCAGTTTTGACACTTTTATTCTTCTTCTCCCCTTTCTCTTGCTTCGGGGGTACCTTGGGCCTCTTTTCTGCGTCGGCAATAACAATTATGGCTTTCAAGGCTGGATCAAACTCCCTATCTTCACAAATCATCCCGATTACCGGCCCGTTGTTGTGAGCGGGCAATGGGTTGTTGGTCACATTCGGGACTTCTTCGTCCCTCAACACTATCTTCCCCTGTTCTATCAAATCTTCCACGGCTTTCTTCAACGTCCAACAGTTATCAGTACTATGCCCCTCAGCTCCTGAGTGATAAGCACACCAGACGCCCCGTTGATAGGATGGTGAGTCCGGGTTTTGCCTGTTTGGGGGTATAGGTTGCAGCAGGTTCATCTGGACGAGCTTCGGGGACAGACTGGAGTAGGTCTCACCAATTGGTGTAAAGTTTGGTCTTCTAGGTGGTTCCCGAGGACGGAAATTATTTTGTGGTGGTCGGGGATTGTAGTGGTTCTGGTGAGCAGGCCGGCTTCTTTGGAATGGAGGTTGATTTCTGTTAACTTGTGGTTGCGGTCGACCGAAAGGTTGAGCATTCATGACCGCATAGGGTGGGGGAGCATGAGCCATATCAGCATGAGGATTGTAGTGTTGAGGGGTTCTTTCAGAATACACAGGTCTAAGAGCCCAGTATCTTCTCGCCCCTGATGCTGCCATAACATTTTGCTCTTTCTTTTTACCTTTAGCCATTCCTCCAGACCCGTCTTGGATGGCTTGGGAGGTTGCTCTGATGGCCGACTGACTCAAAATCTTGCTCGTTTTCAGACCATTTTCTACCATTTCCCCAATCTTAATCGCCTCTGCAAAAGGTTTGCCCATGGATGACATCATGTTCTGGAAATAATCTGCCTCCTGGGCCTGAAGAAAGACAGTGACCATTTCTACTTCATCCATGGGAGGTTTCACCCTCGATGCCTGTTCGCGCCACTTAATAGCATATTCTCTGAAGCTTTCCGAGGGCTTCTTCTTCAAGTTTTCCAAGGAGTTCCTGTCTGGTGCGATGTCGATGTTGTATTGAAACTGCCTTACAAAATCTCTGGCAAGATCGTCTCAAATGTGCCATCGTGAGACATCTTGGTACATATACCATTCTGAGGCAATGCCTACTAAGCTTTCTCCGAAGTATGCCATCAACAACTCTTCTTTTCCGCCGGCCCCAAGCAACTGATTACAATACTTTTTCAAGTGAGCGATGGGATCGCCATGCCCATCATACTTTTCAAACTTTGGCATTTTAAATCCCGAGGGCAAGTGCACATGAGGGAACATGCACAAATCTATATAAGAAACACTTTTTTTCCCACTCAAGCCTTGCATATTCATTAAAATCTGTTCAAGGCTCCTCATTCTTTTCGCCATCTCATATTGTTCAGGAGCTTTGGGAGTCTGATCTTGTCCTGGCGTAAGCTCAAATGGTGGTGGCTGAGAGTAATTATATGTGGGATATTGAGGAGGATCCACCGGAAAGACAGGGTTTTGGAAGGTGAAAGCTGAGCGATCAAAGGCGGGCCTTGGCAGTGAAGGTTGTGTTGTAGTAGAGCATGGTGGAGCAGTGAAGATTTTAGGAGCTGCTCCTGCTGGGAACACCTGGGGGCGGACCTCAGAAGGTGTTCCGATGAAGTGAGCGGTCATGGTAGGCTGTCCCAAAGGAGTATGAGGGTGGCTGATGGGGATATTGGAGGTACCCCCAGATCTAGGGAATAGTTCAGGAAATCCAGGGATGGCGCTTGGAGGCTCCCTTCCATTGGTCCAGGCGTCCCACATCTCCATGAGTCGGAGACGTAGTATCCGGTTCTCCTCCGCTGTGACAGACTCAAATGCCGGGATCCCCTAGATGGGGCTGTCCTCAGAGATGGGAACTGCGGGCAAAGTCATTTCCGTAGACATTTCCACACTTCCTTTTGATCTGGTAAAGTATTGATGCGATGCCAGCTTACCACAACCAACCACCGTTTCTAAAAGATAGGCTGGAATTGATAGCAACACACGGTTAGTTTGAGACAAGTAACAGATAGGTAATCGCACATTGGGGTGTGATGCACCTATACAGTTAAAAGGATGTCTACATGTTTGCACTGGTTGCATGCGTCATCCCGACTTTTCTTTTCCTATTTTCTCTTCTTTTGATTTCTACTCTTTGTTTTTCTTGCTTTTCTTTCTCTTTCTATTTTTCTCTCAATTTTCTTTTCCCTCTGTTTTTCATTTCCTGCTTTTCCCTTTTCTTTTGCCATGGTTTTTCTCTCGATTCCTTATTTTCTCTTTTTGCGTTTCTTTTCCTCTCTTGTTTTTCTTTTATTTCCTTCGCTCGTATTTTCCTTCTCTTTTTCTTTTTTAGGGTTACGGTCGAATCCTATGGATATTGCCTACGTATCATGACCCCGCATGAATCAGACCAAGCGTAGTTCGTGCAAAATAAATGTAAACTAGAAGCAAAATGTTTTGGGATTTTCAATTTTATTGATAGCAAATACTTTGATTACAAAGACTCAAAACTGACGAATTAAACAACATAACAGACTCTGATAAAAGAAGAACTACAGACTCCAACGTCAATTATTCTATTTCAAAAGAAAATACAGACTCAAATAATTGACAGACTCTTAGCGAAAAGAAAATATAGACTCAAACACTGACAGACTCTAGTAAAAAGGAAATATGACAATGACGAATACATTAAAGCTCCTGGTGCCCGTGGGACATCGTTCGGTCTCGTCGCGGGCCTATATGCAAGTTCCCCTTGAAGTCTGTCCAGGTCACTCATTATTTGCTTCACAAATATCATCACCGATGCAAAGAAGGTGGTGTGAGTCATGTTCTCGCACATTTTGCATTTCCTAGTAATGTAGTGAGCAACGGTTAAGATTCTTTCTCTGATTCTGCCCTTTTCCTGAAGCAACCGCCCTATCTGTTGGGCCCTGGCCTCCAAAGTCTGCTCGGCTACCTGGTTTTGTTCCTGGAGTTGTTGCAAGTCCATTTCTAATTGTGCCAATGCCGCGTAGCAATGCTCTCTTTCAATCTTGAATTCTTTTGCCTATTTGATCATTTTGTTCTCTGTGGCGATGACCCTTTTCCTTAATCCCGCGACCTCATTATCGTATTCTTCTTTTAACTATTTAACCATGCGGGCTCGTTCTTCCGTATTTTTAGCCAATTGTTTTCGAACCCCGGCTAATTCTCTTTCTGCTCCATTGAGGTCAAAACTGTAGTCATTCACTTTTTGCCTTAGATTTTCTATAAGTTTTGCATCATTGGCACTCCTGACGGGATCTTCGGCCGCTATCTTCATCTTTTGAATTTGGGCTCGTAAGGCTTCATTCTCTTTGGCCAATTTCTTTTTCTTCCCCTCTTCGACTGCAGCTTGCACACTGTTTTCAAACTGAAGGTCTCGGACTTGCTTTTCCAATTCTCCTATTTTAGCTGTGTATTCATTTTCTTTAGCTAACCAGGCCCGTAGTTCATGCGATGATTCGACAAAATCCTGGAGGTGAGGTCTTTTGGCCGGCCTCCCAAATGTAACGTCCCTTCTATACCAGGCATGATACTCAGGTGACACTTCTCCTTTAGATCGATCCCGGACACAAGTATTTGCAGCCAAGTATTGACATTCGCTTCAAACCCGACGGACCCTTGCTTCAGGAAACTGGCCATCAGGACCAATCTCAACTACTTGGATACTAAGATCGTCGTCCTTTGGCACTACATGGCATCTCCCGAGTTGCCTTAAAACCCGATACGGAGCATAAGGCTGAATGCTCTTAAGACCCATCAAGAGGAAGTGCGGCCCCGCTGCTGGCATATATATGATTTCATCGACAGGTAACCATCCCAACGTCCACTCTATTTGACTGGCAGTGAGGGACCGAAAGTATGATGTCCAGCCTCTGAATCCTTCAGGCAAGCTGACCCCCTTAATCCTCGTATAAAACTCTTATATACAGGTTTTCTCTGTAGGCCCATAACTCAGGAACTGAGGACGATGGCACAGGTGTTCGGTCATCCACATTTGCAACAAGAGATTGCACCCCTCAAAGAAGTCTCCTCCAGCTTTGCAGGCGGTAAGAGCGCGGAAGATTTCAGCTAATATCATGGGCGCAATAGTGTTTTTGGCTTGAGTGAGTAGAGTGCTGACGACCCCGGCTATCTTTATGTCAATATTTCCATCTTTCCTCGGGAATACCAAAAGCCCCAAAAAGACCACCATAAAAGCAAAACGTCTATGTTCTTCCAATTTTTAGCGGTTTCCTTTGCTACATATCTTGTTTTCCGGGTTATTGAACCCTCCGATGTGGCCATATCTATGGTATATGAAGTGTTGAGTGCAAAAGCCATCCGCCAAATCCGTGTTGTGGACCGTCCTGCTTATCTTCAGTGAGTCTAAGAATTTGTGCACGGCCACGGTTCTCGGGGCAATCAAGTACTTGTGTCTTAAAGGAACCTCAGCACGTCTGATGTACCCGGCTATTTCCTCCAAGGTCGGGGTGAGTTCAAAGTCTGAAAAATGGAACACGTTGTGCGCCGGGTCCCAGCATTTAACTAATGCCCTTATGATGTCTCCCCGAGGCGTAATTTCCAACAAACCGGGAAGCCCTTTCAAATATTTTTTGACTTCATCTTGCCCTTCTCTCCTAGATCGTTCCACCACAGACGCAACTCCAAAAGGATTTTATTCATGATTGAGAAAGGTTTCTTTTGAATCGTGCTCATCCTGCACATTTATTTAAAGTGATTTAATGACTTATTTTGACTTAAACAAAAAAAAAATGGCTATTTTTTGCAAAATTTCCATTTAAGAAAAACAAAGACTTGGTTTTGCAGTTACGGCCTTTCAGCACTTCTGGGGAAAGATTTTAAGGCTGTGCCCGCGAACCATTTAAAAATGACTCAGGGTGGCTGTTCTTGCAAAAACAGCCTTCCGGCGCCCTTTTTGGGAACATTCGGCTTATTTTAAAACAAGAATGGCATCACCCGACTTATTGGTGACAAAAATTAAAATTTTGACATTTTTTGGCTATTTTTGCAAAAGGGTGGTTGGACCCGATGAGGGTTGCCTACGTATCTCACATCCGATGAGAATCAAACCAGCGTAGTTCGGACAGATTTGCCAAAAACTATTTTGAACAACAATTTTCTTTCTATGTTTTTCTTGTTTTTCTTTCAAATATTTTTCTCTTTTCCTTTTTTTCATTTTTCAAAAATCCGGCAGCATTGTATTAGTTGGGCATTGAAATTTTTTCAAATGGTCACCCTCACTTAGTCCTAACACTGCTTATTTTTTCCTCAATTTTCACTCATTTAGTCAAGCCGATCAACATGCAAAGCCGAGCAAATAAATGCTCAAGTAGCACGTAAGATGCATCAGGATGGTCAATTCATTTCAGGTCACCTGTCCTAGACGGACCCAACCCCTGTGTTGAGTCCCCTAAGTCAAATGCACATGATGCAAACAAACGTCCTACTAGGGATCCGAGGTCAAGTTATTCTAGGTTCA